CTCTCTGTATTACTGCAACAACCCCCTCCCCCCCACTCCAACTTTTCTCTCAGCATTACTGCAAGAGCTTTTCCTCTCCTCCTTCCATACTTTTTTCTCTCTGCATTTTAGCTTCTTCCCCCCACCACCACCACCAAACACACACCATTCCACCCGCTTATTAACTCACACTAGTACGAAATTTAGAAATGGATAGAGGTTTCCTATATATATACACCTGCCAACAGCATCTTCAGGTACACCATCTAGGATCTTGTCCAGACCTTGGTTGTCACCATGTAGTACAATTAATATATATATACGTGTACAAAATTACAGTATTCACACCGAAGTGTCGCTGAAACTTTTTCTCGAAATGAAGCCGTCTGCGCGGAAGAAAATCCAGGTCAGGAACAGGGGGGGGCAGGTTGCTCCTCGTCTCTTCAGAAAGTGAGGGCTGCGAGAATGTAGGAGACTGCACATTGAAAAGAAGTTGTCACCACCATTTTCATCGTTATTGCCTCCCTTAATGCCTTTTTGCTAATGCCTTCACTATTGCTTTCGCTGATGCCTTTGTCATCACCTTCGCTAATGCCTTCGCTATAGCCAACGCTTTCGCTATTGCTTTCGCTCTATTGCTTTCGCAATTGCCTTCCCTATTGCCACAGTCTTTGCTATTGCCACCGCTTTCGCTATTGCTATCGCCTTCGCTATTGCTATCGCCTTCGCTATTGCCATCGCTTTCGCTATTGCCACCGCTTTCGATATTGCCATCGCCTTCACTATCACCCTCGCCACTGCCATTACAATCACCAACACCTTTGTCACAGTCATTGAAATCATCATCACCATCATTACCTCTGCTATTATCACCCCCTAGCCACCTCCACTTTCACCACCATCATCAGAACTGTCATTATGACCGCCATCGCCACTGTCATCATTCTAACATCATTGCTGCCCTGATCATAACCATCATTGCCACCTCCATCATAACCATCATCGACACTCCACCAAAATGAGCATTCAAATCAGCATCACTATCATCATCATCATCGTCAACCATCATCACCTTTGTCTCTGGCTTTGCCACCGTGAAAATGGTGAAATGGTATGGGTTTAATGCCATTATCAACATGACTAGATTACCTAGGAGGCTGGACCTCCGAGTTTAATGTCTGTCTCTGAAAGCACCAAGACAAATAAGAAATTTGTGTCAGTGCCTTTCCCAAGGACACCACGTTGGACCAAACTGACGCTCTAACCCCCGGACCCACAATCTCACGACTGCGAGTCAAGTAGCCTTACCACCGTCAACACCACCCCCTTCATCAACTTTACTTTTACTTTCACTTTTTTCCGCCGCTTATACCCTTTTGGGTGTCGTGGGAAGAAAGAGATGTCTCTCTGTTGCCAGCCGGAGACCTTGGGTCAGGGGGATGCTGTGGGTGGTTAATGTTTATCCAGGTCTTTCTCGGTCGTCCTCTAGCCTTGTTGCCATCAAATTTTTTTATGTAGGCACGATGTGCTGGACGGTGAGTTGATAATCGTAGGAGATGTCCGAACCATTTGAGTCTTAGGTGTTGGATGTGATGCATGACATCATTTGTGCTCACCATTTCTCGGATTACTGAGTTTCATGAACAACTCCTGTAATCCCTCAGAGTTCAGCTCCCTCGGGCAAACTGTCATATTTTGACAGCAGCCCCAGCCAATCTACTTCGTCCACACAGAACATACTCTCCTTCATCCTGTAGCCCGACTTCTTCTTCTTCCTCATTCTCGACGACAGCAGCTAGACAGTCAGTCCAAAGTTGTGCACAAACTGTGCAGTTCGCTTCAATCTGAGAGACTGCCATAGAGCTTTCTCTCAAGGGGAGCCACATTCTGCCACGTCTGTGTATGAAGGGTGGCATAGCGCGGGCAGTGCTGAAAGATGTGGTTGGCATCCTCTTGGTCGTGTCCACATTCACTAATTGCTGACTCTTCCACTTTTAATTTGGTGTGCATATGGTGTTTGAGTCTGTAGCTCGACTGTTTCCAAGAGCTAATCCTCAATGTTCTTTGCCTGCCCTGCAAGCAGCCTTTTTGTTTTTCAGGATGAGTACAAGCGACAGTCTTTGAACTGTACGTTGCACTTGTTGTGGAGCATGTCCGAACATGACAGGGACACTTCCTCCGTGTGATCTTCGTGGAAAGATGGGCGGTGTGTTTTTGAGATGAACAGAAAGAGTGGTGGTATAGCCTGCATCTCTTAACTTGACCCAACCGGCTCGCTCGAGTAGGTTTCATGAGGAAGCAAAATATGCCGGAAATGCCTCAAAAGATTTTTCAAGCCATCCAGAAGCAGATCTGAAGAAAAGCTCAGGAGCTTTTTCTTTGATGATGCCTCAGGAAGCCTTGAAAATCGTCAAATCATTCACAATCTGCATTTTGCAACACGCCTCTTTATATTTCACATCATCATTGCCTTTCTCACCCTGGATCAGGATATAGGTCATGAACAAACACTTTCCACCTTTCCCTATCCTGGGCTGGTCGCTTGATGTCACTCCATGTCTTCCCACTTTTCTGTACTTCCATTTCCGTGACTCTTCTCCAGGTTCCACGTGGTCCTCCTTCCTTGTTATGCAGCTGATTGACTTCCTGAGAGATATTTCACATAATCTGTCGTAATATAAAAGTAGGTTCAGCACAACTGATACTATGCAAACATTCTAGAGATCCTGCCAGGTTGTTGCTTTTCATGCAGTTCTTTTACGTCAAACTCGAGAGAGAGAGTACAATTTGTCCAAGTCATAACACAACTGTGTACGGTACCGTAGAAGTTCAGTCTATTGAGCGCACCTGTATATGAGCCACACCCACAGAAGTTTTGTTACAAATCAGAGTTTGTTTCCACAAATAAGCCACACAGGTTAGTAACCCGCAGCAGATCATACGGAGTGCCCATTGGGGGATCGACAGACTCCTCGCCTGAAAACAAACGTGTTTGTTTTTGGGGCAACGAGTTGGGCGATCGGTTAGAGCCACAACAGCCGCTTTGCGCCCTCAATCTGACTAGAAAAACAAGCATATGTCATGTACATCGCATTTATTCAGTGCCACCATCATCCTATCTGCTGAATCCGCTGAAATCTTCTTCGGCGTCGGAGCTGAACTTTAATTTAGAATGTGAGCAATGAGCATGGTAACAGCGGGAACAGTAAACACACAGGCGCCGGCCCTTTAACACGGGGGTGTGAACATGAACAGTTAACATGGAGCTAAGAATAATTGAGGGAGTGACGCTCCTGAAACTGGGGAAAATTTGCAAATAAGCCGCATTGTTGTTTGCGCCGCAGAGTTCAAAGCTGAGGAAAAAAGTCGCAGCTCAAAAGACGGAACTTCACGGTAAGTCATTTTTGTCCTGGTTTTCTGTTACTCGTATGGTAAAAATGTTTGTTACTCTTTTTTGTAACCTCAGTGCAGCAGAAGTTTTGTTTCACGTACTGATATTCAATTGCTGAAACAATATCACTTTTGCTCAAAATGAAAGGTTGACATAGGACAGAACTTAAAAATTTTCTTTTTTCAAAACAACAGCCCCCAAAAAACCCACCAAAAAATGACTTCAGACAAATGTGTTACAACTGTGACGGGATGATCTAAAGCACAGCAGCTACATTTTTGCTTTGAGGTTAAGCCCAAAAGGAAGAAAGGCTTGCTCAAACCATTTTCTGATCCATTGTAAATAAAAAACAGGGGTTAAATAGAAAACAGGGGATCAAGCAACTACAAAGCACAAGAATGGAAGTACATGCCATCGGCTTCATACCACAATCATCCCAATAAATTTTTGAAGGTTTTCATATAGCTTAGTTTAATTAGAGTTTTACCGCACCCGCAATTAAAAAGATCAAGGAGCATCTTACATGACAGTTTTGCTATTTCCTTCATGGGTTTTAATTCAAAATTCACAAGTGCCCTTGAGATGGATGGCTTTACTGTGGGCGATCTCCTCTTCTCTAATTTTCTCCAGACGTTATAAAAAGACACAGGACTTGTGGAATGATGCTGACATTATAGTCATAGCTTGAGTACAGGAAACAAAAACAACCCCACCCTGCACTGTCTTGTCGCTGCAGATAGTGGATGGTGTTTGTGCAGGAATTGTCTGCATGTTACTTCTCGTAACGATGGTACCTTTGGTTAATCAGGTCAGTGTACGCCAAAAAATGTCATTTGCAGAAAGTAAGATGGATAGCATCAATGTTTGTCGGTTCGTCTGTTTGTCGTCATAAGTAAAGCGGAGTGCATCGACACAATAACTGCCATTCACAATTAGGGGGAAAAGTAAGACAGACCAACAGAAATAACAGTGGGAAGTTAAAGAGCCTGAATATACCAGTGGTACTCTAAAACCATCAACTGAAATCAGACAAAAGTATGTGCAAAACAGAAAGAAAAAAACATATTTTTAAAAAATATTTAAAAAGTCATCTAAAGATGGCATCCTAACATGACCCATGATGCTGGGTCAAGTATGGCATAGTACTTCAGTCTTTACTCCTACCTTCATATGGTCGGAATTCATATCCAACCATATTTGGGCCCTGAAAAAAAGAATGTGTTGAAAACTCATTACTGAAGACTAAATCATCCCACCACGACCAACAATTATAACAGAAAAAGTGTAAGGAAAAAAAAAAACCCAGGCAGTCCAACACAGTTCAATTTCTAAAAGTAAAAGCGTAACAGTACATGCATAAAGTTTTAAAACTCATAAGGAAATGATTAAAAACACGTGGAATTTTTAAAAAGGAATGAAATGCTAGAAAGGTAATGAACCCTCCTTATGCAGGAATAAAAAAAAAAAAGCCATTCATAAACAATCAGCAGCACTTTGGTCCTGAGAGTCTACATTCATTGATCTCCAGCATTAAGCATGGAAAAGAAGAAAAAAGAGGAGGACGAGCAGGACGTTGATTGATTGATTGATTGAGTAGGCGTATTACGGCATAATCGATTCAATTTTGGTCATGTAAGTGCCAACAGGTTTTACTGCAACAAATCTATCATCATGTCATGTTCTAGTAAGAGTTTTTCGGCGCTCGCAACTGCACACGGTCATCATGTTAAAAGGACGAACAGACATTTATGAAAATTTGTGTAAATATGGTAAAGTCTCTTATTTACATTTATATTTACAATATTAATTTAAGTGTATGTACATACACTGACAACGATAACTATACATTTTATACCCTATTTAAGAATCCTATTTCTTTGATAAGACTTAAAATTGTTCTCGGATTAACAATGTCAAAAACAGTAGTTTTGACATCTTTAAATCTAAAATATTTTGTACGTATATCGTTGAAGTCGACACATTCCGCCAGGATTTGCCGAACTATAAAATATGTGTTGCACGCCACGCAGAAAGGAGCTTCCTCTCCTTCGAGAAAATGTTTATGTGTGACGTGCGTGTGACCTATTCTTAATCTTGTGTAAATAACATTCTCTCTTTGTAGGAGAGACATGGGTTTCCTGGGCGTAAGATTTGGTTGAATATAATGGAGTTTGTTGTGTGTTTGTTGGTTCCAAATTTGGGACCAGGAAGATGTGATGTGTTCTTTTACTTTCGGTTTCATGTCAGAGAAAGGGATTTTACTATTTTAGGCGATTTGGTTGTCGTTGTATATTTGGTTGTAAGTTTGATAGTTTTTTTAATGTGAATGTGGGTGTTGGCAATTTAGTTTCTTGTAGACAGATAACATTTGGGGTCTGTGAGGTCAAAAGATGGGAGAGTTCTGCCTGGTTCGCACGCAAACCGCGAATGTTCCACTGAAGAACTGCCATTTTTGTTTATTTTGAGGGCATGGGTTCAATACATTTCTTTTCAGATGTAGGTGACCATTATCTCTGTTTTGTTAGGCTGTGGTCACGGTGGACTGCAGCTTTTTTTGAAGGAGAGTGTGGAGGGGGAGGAGGACCGGAGTCCCGGATGTGGGTAGAGGAGGGGGAGCGGGTGGAGGGGCTTTTTAGTTTTAGTAAAAGTTTTATGGCACTTGCAACACAATAAAGTCATATACGTGCCGAAGATTAGAGATGTTACAAGAGAGTAACAAACACAAAAAGGAAGGAGAAGAGATCAGGATGATAGATGTTTGAAAGGGAAGAAGGAGCAAACCACACCAGAGCACCCGCCAACCACCCACGGAGGGGCTTTGTTGGATAAAGGGCAATGGGATGGAGGGGAGGTTGATGTGGGAGAAATGAGGTAGATGGAGGTGGAAGTGATGATGGGTGTGAAAATGATGATGGTGAGGATGTTGGGAGTGAAGATGATGGGGGTGATGATGATGATGATGAGGGTGAAGATGATGATGAAGGTGAAGATGATGATGGGGGTGAGAATGAAGAGGATGGCTGAGAAATAAAGTGAGAGGGTGAAAGTGTGTGGGGACGGGGAGTGGGAGAGGTAGGAGGGGAGGAAGTGGACTCCATGTCCTCCTCCGTCTCCAGACTGGAGCATTGTATGTTGCAGGTGTTCTGCTTTTGTCTATTGGTCTGAAGGACCTTTCGGGTTGGGTTCACTGACCCTGGGACTGTCTTCAGGACTTTGGAATATGTTTTTGCATTCCTCGGGGTCGATTCTTTTAGATATAACGTTGCTCTTGCTTGAGCGAACGTTCCGCCGTACTGGGCCCTATGTGTTAGGATGGCCTTCTCTTGACACCACTTTGGACACTCCGTCAGAGATGCAGAGTGACCCCCCTGACGACAATTTGGACACCAGAGATCTGCAGAGCAGGTCTCCCTTGAGTGTCCTTCCTTGCCGCAGCGAGGACACGCTGAACCACCATGACAGCGCAGCTGTGTGTGTCCGAAGCGCTGACAGTTGAAACAGTGCATCGGTTTCGGTATGTATGGTTGTACAAAAAATTCTAAATAAGCGATGTCTAGTTTTGTAAGTGGTGTGGGCGTGTTGAAAGTAAGGATCCATGTGTTGGTACAGATTTCCTTGCCATCTCACTGCACTCTGATACGACGAGCATGGACAATTCTATCGACCTCCTGGACCATCTCTTCTTCTATACAGCAACTGAACTCTTGGCTTTAGATGACACCCTAGGATGAGTTAAGACTTCTGTGAGGTTGAACACATACAGGGATGCCACCAAACGAGGTGCAGGCCAACAGTTTGCCTGATTCTACACTGGAACTGACCTGTATCAGGAGGTCCATGGACCTTAGTTTTTTTTAAGGTACTTTGGTTTCAGAATTCTGAATGTTTTTAGTGTTTTGTGAATTTTGAAGACGCTTAGTGTTGCTACGTCCTGCTTTTCATCTTTTGGGGAGATCACCAGAAATGGTGACTACCCCAAGGACGTTCTCTTTTCGTTTGCCCAGGCCAGAAGTTGCACCTGCTTCTCCTGTCTGGGACTAGTTGGGAATAGGGGTGGGAGAAATGTTTGTTTTTAGGTCCATGTGTTTTCGAGTTTGTTCATCTCCAGGGCTCCCCACCCGCTACCGAGTCCAACAAGGTCAGGCTACCCTGGAGGTATACTCCCAATCGGACGGCAAGAAATCTCGCCTTTCAACTAAGATTGGCCAAAAAAATGGTTCAATGAACCGGTCATAACCGGTTGAGTGCAGTAGACCGCTGCACCCGCCCTTCTAGACCGAATCCAGGGCCAAAGTGACGTGTTGGTGAGGAAAGCCACACCTCAGCCACCAGGGTCCCCTTCTCCAGTCGTACGGGTCATACCCCACGGGGATTCGGGGTCCATTTTTTGCTTGACCAGACCTTCGGTCGACAGATCGGAAAGAAAGATAGATGGACAGAAGACATAGCAAGTACGGACAAAAGATGCCACCCCTACGTCAGAGAGCTAGTGACGTACGAGTGGCATCCCACCAGCGGGGGGGGGGGGGGGGGGGGTTACAACCCTTGTTGATTGAACAGCCGACTATTTTTATTCTATTCCTCAGTCAGCTCGGGGAAGGACGAAAGAAGAAGGAAGAAAGACGACAGAAGACAGATGATACACCTAAGCAAATGTCGCCCATGCGCACCTGAGCGTAGATGTTTATGGGTGACATTTCACCATTGAAGGGGTTGCACCTCCTGCTGGTGGAGCAGTGGGTTTATTTATTAGCCTCCGACTCACGGGGGGGCGGAGCAGGAGGAGGAGGAGGAGGAGGACGATGAGGAGGAGGAGACAAAGAAGAAGAAGAAAAACAAGCAGGAGCAAGCAGGAGAAAGAGGAGGAGAAGGAGGAAGTGAAAAAGCTGTAGGAGTTGGAGAAATTTCAAAAGAAGAATTTGAGTTTGAGTAAAGAGAAAAGCAACAGCACAATAAAAGTCTTATAGTGCAGGGAGAAAGTAAGACAAAAACAACGGAATGAAAGGAAATGGAGATCAGAGTGGAAAAACGATGGTAGTCACAAACTGGAAATTGTGAGGACGTCAATTTTAAGATAAGATAAGATAAGATAAGATAGTACTTTATTATCCCAGAGGGAAATTTTCCTTGGCTGTACAGGACCGTAAAAACACAATATGCAGGTATACATAAAAAAATTAAATCATATATATTACTCTCATTAAAATTCAATATGAAGGAGAAGTAAAGCTGACAAAAAGTATTTACATCAAATGCATCATTCAACCACATGTAGGAATTTAAATATTAGACCTTTGGAGTTATATACAGATACATACTCTAAGAGCAACACACATCTATGCTCATTCTGCCAAAAGCCTTATGCTAGATGGTAAAAAACTTCTTTTATATCTTTCTTTCTTTGTTTTTGGAGGTACATATCTGCCGCTGCGTGATCTTACAATTTGTGTGGAAAAGGGGTGTGATGGGTCGTTTATAATGCTTTTTATCTTTTTTATACATGTGGTGTTATACATTTCATCCATTCTTATAAAATCATATCCAGAGATTTTGCTGGCTTTCTTAATGGTTCTGTCAAATTTTTCTTTATCTTTCACCCTACAATTCCCACCCCAGCAGCAAATACAAAATAATAGCACACTTTCAATCATAGAATGGTAAAAAAGGGACATAATCCTATTGTCAATACGGAAACTTCTTAATTTCCTTAAAAGAAACATTCTTTGATTTACTTTTTTATGCACAAGAGCAGCGTGGGGATGCCAGTCAAGTTTGTGGTCGATTGTTACACCAAGATACTTGTAAGAGCTTACCACCTCCACCTCTTCATCTTTTAAAAGCTTGTGGACTCATAATTTCATACTTGTTTGACTGGTGGTTTATTGTTAGTGTTGTTGAATGGGAAATCTAACAACAATAAACAACCAGCAGTTGAACTTGAAAAGAAATACAGTTATGAGTCAACAAGTGTTCAAAATTGGTACACTCACTTTTTTTTAGTTTGTGACTACCGCCGTTTTTCTCCTGCAGTCTTCAAATGTTTTAGTCCTTGGGAAAGGCACTTGACACAAATTTCCTATTTGGTTTGCAACTGCATAAGGTCATATGAGCGCCAAGGGGTGGATGTCAACAGAGAAGTCCAAACATGGAATCTGGCTTACTCTGCTCACCTCTCTAGTCTCAACAGCACGAAGTCTGCTTCTACTATCGAGGCACCCCGGAAATAGCAGTTTACTAGGAAGTGACAAACATACAAAAGAAGTAGAAGTTTGTTTTTGTAAAGTGTTTTACGGTGCTCGCAACTGCATAAGGTCATATGAGCGCGCGGGACACACCTAATATTTTCAGTTGGTAGGAAATTTTGAATTTGCCCGGGTAGCGGCCGAAGCCTACTCTTATCAATTTTAGACCACCAAGGGATCTTTAACGGGCACAACAAGGGCCCTCCGAGATTTTTCGCCCTTGTCCGAGAAGGCTAGGTGTAGATCTTTCCTACCAGAAGATCAGGGGTGTGGCAGAAAGACAGCAGTTAGTAGAAAGGCTGCAGAAAGAGTCAGGAGCCCAGAGGAGGGGGCAAAGGAGGTGAGGGGGTGGGAATGAAAGCAGACAACAGAACATTGCTAGTGTAATGTTAGTCTACATACACGACTGTAAAACTGGAGACGAACACACCCGACAGCAAGCATTCTAAAATAATGAGCCCGGGTGTAGTGTCTGACTTTTTATGTAGATCCCCGAAGTGAGTAACATTAACCAAGAGCCCATGGCATACGGGGCGCTTACGTCCCGTGAGTAAAAAAGAGTAAGGTACAATACGGTGACTACCGTGACAGCTAGAGAGCAGGAAAGGAGGTGAAAGGGGACAATTTTAGAGAAGAAAATTTTTTGGTCGCTACCTGGATTCGAACCCAGGACCTTTGAATGAGAGGCCAACACCTTAACCTCTAGGCTACGAGAGCCCCCAAGAAGTAGAGGAAAAATGACGATAGTAAGGATGAGGAAAGAAAAAGCAGCAGTTCCACCTCTGTTGTTCCGGCACAGTATGAGCATGACATTGATAAATCAGCCCATTTACAATTCTATTGTGCATTAGAGCATGTTAATATGCCCCCTCTGGGAAGGGCCTAAAGACACTTCAGTCAGTAGCACTGCCGG